ATTTTGGGGATGGGGGCCTGTACATGCATGTAGATTAAGTTCCCAAAATTTCAGCCCCGTAGCTTTTGTAGGTCTCTAGATGAAAAATCGGTACAGACGAACACACAGACACACACACACAGACAACCCCTCGTCAATACGCATTTACCTGCACTGCATAGCTGCAAAAAACGCATAACCAGACGATGCAGCACTGAATCAAGCAACTGGTGAGCCTACCAGATTCGCAATCTGAGAAACACGTTATAAATTGCAGCTGATCATAGGCTTGCAATCACTCCCTGGTTCGCATTTCCGCATGAGTGATTGGTGAGACATGTAACGAATTGAAATATAATCAAAAACAAACGTGAAACAAAACATCCGTCCTTCGAAAAATAATTGCGGGTAGTCTTTAAGGAACCGGAAAGTCTCCATGGACTCCAGACAAAGCACTCGGCTGTTCTTCATCTGCAAAAAAAAGTAAGATCGTTCATCGTTTTACCTGCCCCTCCCGCACATAATACTTGAGAAATAGTGACAGTGGCAAAAGATTTGGAATTCCTGCGATAATACTTGGGAACGATAATCTTTACCGTCGCGTCGCCCACTGAGATTGCTGCTTCAGTCTATTGCGGTGAAAGCGGTAGAAATCCAGTGGGGATGCTGAATTTGATCTCTTGGGTTTGGTAGATATTTCGTGAACAATGCATATTCTGGAACAAAATTAGTGCCTGCTATGTTGCTACGCATAGTGCTTTTTGTCGTTACAGGTCAAATGAGGTACAAATTTCTGTAAAATACTAAAAGCATTCACTTATGCGTTTTTTCATATATGCAAATACAACCCAGGCTGGAGCACCAGGCTTGCGGGTGCGATCATGCGTTTTTGCACTAAACTCGCAAATCACTAAGAGTAGGAACGACCCCTGCGCTGTAGACTAACAGCTGGGCTCATATTGGCCAAACTCTGGCCTCTTCCGGTATGCAAGAGAAAGGGCGTCGGTTGGGATGAAGGTGTTGCATTATAGGGCCGCATGAACCTCCAGGTACATGGTTACCAGTTTTTTTGTGCGGAGCCTGGTCATTTTTTCAATAAATGCTCGTTTTTTGAAAAAATGCATATTTCCTGCTCACTAAAAAGTGGAAGTGTTGCTAAGACGATCGAATGTCAAAAAATCCAAGTACGCAAATAAACTGAATGTTCATTTGCATATTTGGATGAGGTGGTCGTTCGCTGCAAAACGCACTCATTTCTGAGTTTTCGGTAAAGTTGAGTATTTTTCACATCCACCTGCAGGAAATTTTACCTCCAAGCAGAATTAAGACCGCACTTGAAAGTAGAATATACCAGCGAATTTTCAGCCTTGCATTTTATCCAGTAAGCGAAATATCCACTTTGCTACAAATATCTTTGAAGTGCCCTAAGCTGTGGCGCAAGTACAAATCGGTGCTCATTTTAGGTATACGATTTCCCACATGGGCAGCAAACATGCTAACAAAATTTTAGCCACTGTTTTCTGGTAAGTTTTCGAGTTAGCACAGTGCCAAGTTTAAACTTTGACGTGATCGTACGCGTTGCACAGGCGTGCGCGAAAGCTGAATTTGAAATCCTTAACTCGCACGTGTACAGAGAAAATCCTTGCAAAGTTCAAGCTTTGCATCTTGCCTGGCTTACGAAATCGCTTCCCGCCAAAGAAATTTGCATATTTTTTTGGGGAGACCGTAGGCGGGGTCTAGGCGCGTATGGGAGATCTTAAAACGGGAGGGTCATACAAAGGGTGGGAACATATACTCTAAATTTCAGCATCCCAGCTTCCCTGGTTGCTGAGATGAAAGTGAGTGACAAAATGCACTCGCTTCCGAACACACATGCACACAGGCAGTTTCTCGACAATATGCGATTTTGCTGGCTATAGTAGCACTACACCGCTGCTATAGTGTTGCACAGCAAAAACGCACAAGAATAGCATTTTGAGGCTTTATGATTAATGACTAAGAGCAGTTCAAGTAGGCTTCAAGTAACGCATATACAGAAGAAACAGTTGGAGCCGACGAATCAACAGCCATGTAACTTGCCTGTAGGAAAAAAACGACGACTCAGGACATTTTGCATTGTATATGGAGAAACCGGATAATGCTTGGAGTTGGGTGAATTGGGCTTGGAAGGCGTAGGTGAGCTCACAGTTACATACAACTGGTCAAAAACAGTGTGATAAGTGATGGAATATGTGTATTTTTCTATTGCACTTCTGTTGAGTGGCATCAGCAGTGTGCTACTAATTTCTGGATTTCATGCGGGGAAAAAAATTGGTCGGAATTCACAGCGTGTAAGTGAAGTGTAACACAAAACCAGTTTGTGCTTCAAGTTTTATTGAGCAACAATTTCATAGCTGCTACAGGAAGAAGATATGCGTGAAATATCATTGAATTTGCGGTGGATATTGTCCAGAAAGGTTCGTTCTTCCAATTACGCCTTTGCTTTCGCTTTAGCTTTTGCTGCTTTAACAAGCATCGACATTGTTCTCCTTGGGCAGGGGCAGTAAGCTGCGTCCTTACCCGGACTTCCTGGTGGTCCTGGCGGCCCTGGTGGTCCATGAGTGCCCGGAGTGCCATTACCGCCCGGCTGAAAATATATGTCCAAATGAGTTTCTGCATTTTGTAATTACAGAGACAAGGAAAAAAAAGCGACCACATGTTTATGTAGCCGGCTTGCATCATAGCAGGGCTTTGAAAACAGGCAACTGTAATGGGAACTTACTTCTCCTTGTGGGCCTTGGTTGCCAGGTTGCCCTGGTTGTCCCGCACTACCGGCTGGTCCAGGTTGTCCTTTCGGTCCAGGCTGTCCAGCGGGACCTGGTGGTCCGCGAGGTCCTTTGCGTCCAACCACGCCGTCGCTTCCCGGTGGGCCTGGCTGACCTGGTTTGCCGTCTTGTCCGGGTTGGCCTGAAACTTATCTAGTTCGTCAATTTTTAAGGGATTAATACAATTTAAGGCCTACTAGATATTACGCTTAATTCTGTTTATCAGCTGTGTTAAAATTTTTACTCATAAGCTTACCGGCAGGTCCGGGCGGTCCTGGTGGTCCACTGTTGCCCGGATGAGCATCTTGTCCTGGATTTCCGGCCGGTCCTTTTTCACCAGGTGGCCCCATTGGCCCTGGTGGACCTGGTGGCCCAACTGGTCCTGGTGGGCACTGTTTGCATCCAGCGGCAGGCTGGATGTCCAATGGTGGTACAATTCCAGGTACACCTGGTTCGCCTAAAAAAATCAAACTTTTAATATTTCGTCACTTTTCACCTCTGGCTGTTGTTTCTCCGACAGTTTTCTGCCATTTAAATCGTAATTTTCGTACTCCGTATTCACAGGAAGGAGGAAGTACCTCGTTGACCAGGAGCTCCTGGAGCACCGGGTGCTCCTGGTGGTCCAGGTCTGCCCGGTGGTCCCGGTGGGCATCGGTCACCAGTGTCACACTGACAGATTGGCTCCGCTTGACGTTCTTTACGGCTGTGTGGTGCACTGTTGCGGGAAAGCATCATTTCACCCCATACTTCTTGCTCGAGTACCTGAAATTTCAGTTAACTGTGCACAAACGACAGAACCGAATCCTTAATAAAATACGAGTTGTATGAGTAGCGATAGCTGAGCAATATTATGAGCTGAAAGGCTTTCTAGCTTTCAGTTTCCGTTTCAGTTTTGGCGAAAGCTATCATCGGACATTGGTCAATTTGATATTAAATTTGATAATATGATACGTTTGCTTTCAGCAGCAAAATAGACCTTCGAGCACGGCACTTGAACTTAGTGTTCTTTTTTAAAGCAGAAAAAGCGTACTCGGAACTGATCCATTTTGACGGTCAGTGAACCGCGAATGTCTTCCATGCGCCCCATTAGATATGGAATATAGAAGAAGCATGCCGCGATGGCGATTACCGACGCGCAGCTGGAAAGGTGTGCTGCTGCCTCCGACATCTTCAGAGAACTACGACATCAAGCGACGAATTGGAACCTTTTTATAATCCCCGAAAAGGTGCTTCACGGAGGAGGTGGGGGGGGGGCGGACGCAATTCCATCTACAGGCTCCAAAAAATATCGCGGTAGCTCTCAGCAACCGGTTGATCGCGGAAGTGGAACGCACTGCTTACTTGCAATTTGAACGCGCCCTATCAGCTACATGCAACTCTTTATTACAGTGGAATTTCGGGAAATTTCATTTTGGTTTTTTTTTATACTCCTCGATCTACTGAGAGCTCAAATAAAGTGTAAATCTCCCAGAAGATCTTTTTTAGAAAATCTATAAAAAAATTCTTCTCAGAGCTCTTGGTAACATATCTACTTTCCGGCACTGGTCCAGGAAGTGTGCGCAGTCCTGGGATTCAAAAAAAAAGCGTGCTACGCATAACAACTGTCTATTTTCACTTAAAAATTTTCCCATTTTTAATAATTTTTGGGGAACTATATTAGATCATTTTCTCCTCCGAATAAGAGTTAAAGCTTGACATTCTCTGAAGCACCAACTTCTGAGATGTAAGCAGCGACGCGTGAACTGATCTGGTCGGAGCCTGAGCACCTGATAAGCCTGCTTCGGACATCATATTTTTTGACACGTACACAGCTAGAGCAGCAAATTGTGAGTTTTGCGCTGAAAATTAATTGCAGAAGTTAGATGGAACGAGTAAAATGTCGGAATTTTTAAAAAAAAAGAATTCTATCACTTTTTTTCCGTTTTCACTAAGACGTTCACCCAGAGAGTTGGTTTCATTTGCGCACGAACCTGTTCTTTCCCTGGTCCATGAAGGATGGCGTCGGATTCCAGTAGGAGTAGAGCTGCTTTTCAAAATTCTGTTGAGCAGGCTTATTCTTTTTTTTTTTTGAAGAATCTTTTATTCCACTGTACAACATAACTTTGCTTTTATGGCCCAAAATACTACTGTAGCGTAATTTTTCAATGCCTCCGAGTCATCTCGAATCCCAGCACTTGTTTCCGTAGCTTGCAGTATGTTTTTGGGATTTCCAGGACAGATTTAGAATGCCTGCGCCCCTGATTTCACTATTGTCAATGTTTAACTTCGTAACACATTGCAAGCTATAAATTCAGTTTTCCTGGCTAAGAAATTAGTCTCTGTGGAGACTGTGAAATTAAGGCATTCGATTGGTTCTTTCCGAAGCTGCTGCCCGGTGAAACACTAACTCTGGAAATAGCCTCTGCGCTTACTTACAAAAACTAAGGGCGCGTTTCAGTGAACTGAGGAAATTGTGCAGCTAATTATTTTATTTGGTATAAAAAATAGTTGAGGAGGTACGAGAGACCTCAGTCGAGTTTTGTGGCTGTCTCTGTTGGGACGGAAGAGGTAACATACTGTGGTTATGGTAACCGCTACGACTATGGTTGACTCTCTGTTTAATCGAACTACTGAGATGTAGTGGCCCTTTGCTCTCTCTCCCAGCTGAATTTAATATGAACGCCGTGAGCTTAATTTAGTATTACAAATCTGTACTTCTTCCAGCCGCACAAATTTAGCACCTCCAGTTGATTTAAATTCAATCGCTATGATCAGGGAACTGACACAGTTGTTTTAAGAATGAACTATCAAGGATTCAATATGGATGTCTGTTGTGGATTCAAGTTCTTGAACAGTCTGGTTCCGTAACCAACGATATTTTTTTGGGAAGTATCATATTATACTGCATTTTCGGGATGCACAAAATACAAAGTTGGATCCAAAAATTCAGATTTCATTTGCGAGGGATTTCGACAGAAACGCATTCCAGTACAGTCGAATTTTACACACTACACCGCTTAAGGACTCAAACCAGGTCTCCACTACACCTTAGCATGTACTCGTTAAGCACCCGAAGATTGTGGGTTTTGATGCTTTACAGTCTGCAGGATTTGGTCTGTTGTGGATTCAAGTTCTTGAACAATTTTTACATTTTATCTGTCGATAAAATGTAAAAATTTGAAAACATCTTCAGTTGAAGTGGTAGTAGATGTTACTTTGACAAAATCCGGATGTATGATGCCCATGTGTGAATGTCGACTGTAAACTGACAACTTTATTTAAGGCACATTTTCATCCAGCAGATTATTGCAAACAAATATTCTCGAATTTTAAAGTTCTTTTTCACAGATTATAATATGCACTTGCACGGCATTTGGTTGGCATGCATGGCGTAGTGTGAGGTGTGTACTGTTGTTGTATTGTGTAGTAGGCCAAAAATTCGACTTTGCCGCTAGAACACCAATCCCTCTACGACTTATTCATTCCTTTCGATGGTAAATTGGTAATGGCATATGTCAGGGAGTTAAATTCGTTAATAGCTTACTTGTAAGCAACCCTTTAAAGAGGGGACAATCAACAGCTTTGTGGGTGGGTGGGTGGTTGGTTTTGGCATTTATTACCACTCGGACTATTTCCCCAGCGCCTCCGCTTCTTACGGAGAGCGAATATG